CTCCATTATGCTGTCGGCTCTTTTCGCCAACACTTCTACATCCTCATCCAATGTCGTTAAGATTTGTTGCACCTGCAGAGGCAAACGCCGCAACCAAATTGACTTCAGTATACTCTTATCCAATCGATTATGTGCCAAATCTTTCATCTTTCGTAGTAACGTAGTCGGTTTCTTGTCATTTAATTCGCATGACTCAAAAAGTCGCTTAAGTCTTTTCTCTGTCGACTCACCAAATTCAGTTAGTAGTCTCTCCTTTAACGCTTCGTACTTGCCTGTAGTTGGGGGAGATGCAATAATATCGCTGGCGTGCATTAAGATCGCCGAATCAATTTCGGCGACAACAGTGTAATACTTAATATCGTCTGTCGCGATACCAGCGCGCAAATTGCGCTTCCACCTGAGCAAACCACAGACGTGGATCAGGTTTCCAAAACGGCGGCGGTTTAACAGCAAGGCGCCCCAAATGCAGCATGTTTTCTGCATCCATAAATCTGTCTTCTCCTTCGCTGACCATATTCATCGTCGGGGTCACCAGTTATAGAAGTCGTTTTCTATATTCTTAAATTTATTTGATATAATGAAAATGTCGAATTACAAATCGAAGATGTTGCACGAAAAAGGATTAGAAAAATATATACCAGGAAATGTATGCAACAAGCAAAGGTATGTTTAATTAATTATTTGTTCAAAGTTTATAGAGTTGCCATCTTAGCGAGACGAATAATGTAGTAGTCCTTAACCCTACACATACATATGTATGTGTGCATGGATATGAAATGCAGACCTTCGTTTTATTGAGTTTGCTTCTAAGTAATACATTCACCCATACAAACAATTTCTTATTCTATTTACGTGTGTATATTTTTGGTTTCTTATTAATATCCTTATAATGGCAAACCAAAACATTTAAAAGAAATAAAAAATGTATATGTATTGTTTTTTCTGCTTTTCTTTACTCTCAGTCTTCACCAGACGCCCACTTTTCTCATATAATAAATAAGCGCAATCATTATAATAAAATAACATGCAGATACATCATTGTACTGAAAAGTGTACGCTTGGAATATACTTTAACTACACGTATGCATGGTTGTAATTTATATGTACATACATATACATATATTACCACCATAATTCATATATTTGTGCATATTCCTACATTCCTTTCAACCGAAAACCATTTGCTTAAGAAATGCATACTAACATATACATATGTATGTATGCAGTATGCATAACAAAATGCATACCCAAAACAAACGCGAAAAATATCTCCCATACAACGTCGTTGAAAATTTTTCGCGATAAGTTTATCGCGATAAGCTGTGGTGAGTGATCGCGAATGGATTATTTGCATCGTTTTTCTCATTTACGAGAGGCCGAAATCGGCAATGCTCGGACTTCTCATATTCGAGTGAGAGGAAATTTCTTTCCTTTTTTCGATCGCGAATGAAAGCAGCGGACATTTTTTTGTCGATCGCATTCCGAATGTGAGAGATGATAAGTTTGTTTACATTTTTCACTCGCGATAAAGAATGCAAAAATTGATTTGGAATATTATCGATCGCGATAAATCTCATAAATGAATGAAAACGAATAATCATAAATGAGAATTTCCGAACCCTGGTTGTGACTGAATTGAATATTGACGTTTCAACTGCTTTAGAAGATAAATCTGATTAATATAAAAACAATGAGAAAAATGCTTGAAAGCTGCAATACTAAATCAAGTGAGAATGGTGTATGTATGTTAGAATAAATTTTTTTCGTGAAAAACGCGTTCACCACTAATCTTAAGCATACCAATTCAGTCGTGCTTTGAGGACGTTTCGGCAATGTTTTAGACTCAGGGGCATGGATTTCCAAATCACTGCGGAAGGTGGATAATGACAGTCCATTTTCATTTGGTGCACCGATACTAAAATAGTAATGAAGACCGTTTTTTTTTTTTTTAATTTTGATAAGAAGCACTTCGTATACCTTAGATCGGAGGAGAATCGTTTCTTGCCAGAGAACACAATTGAGCCATTGCGATTTTTTATGGAACCACCTTGCGACATAATATTCGATATATCCTCCTCGGCTGAGAAAAACATCTCTGAGGGGTTCTCCGAAGTGAGGGAAATCGTGCGCTGCACTTCACGGGTCAAGTTATCACTTCCATTGGTAAGAGATGTTTCAGTGGAGAGCTGCATCTGCAGAGGCAAATCGACAATTTCGAATTCAAGCGGATGTGAGAGCGGCGCAGAATGCGACATTTCATCGGGGATCTTAAGAAAAAACGACGCCAGTTATTTTTAACTAATAGAACTTTTTAATAAAATAACTCACCTCTAACTCATCTTCAGCGTCTGCTTCGCCGGTTAACCGCGAATCGGATTTACTAGTTTTGGGTGGTGAAACACGCAGCGTATTGTTCTGAGATTTTGACTTCGTTGCGTCTGAGCCGCGTCTCAACGCTACTTGCACCTGTGATTCGTTCGAGTCTTGACGTAACACTTTCTTCGAAGGACTATCCAAAAGTCGCGCGTAAGGTACCTCGATAGAAGTTTGTCTGATGTTTAAAGTAAAACAAACAATAATACATGTAACCGTAAATGCTTGTGCTATTCGATTCTACTAACCTGTTTGTAGTATATGAGTATCGTTTATTCCGTCTCTCCAGCGTATTCGGTGAACCTACATTCTCGCGAGATTTGCGTCCATTTACATCTGGTATTTCAATGGAATTACCAATTTTTAATTTTCCACCTGCGTCTTTAGTGCACAGTTCGGATTTCTTTAGGCTGCCATTTCGCTGCTCAACAGCTGGCCAATAATGCTTGCCTTTACCGTTGAAATCGGCGCTATCATGAAGCAAAACCGAATGTACGCTGTAAGGGGGAGTGTGAAACACCAGTTGGCCTTGATGTAATATGCTCTCACCAAAACCGTAGTCCTTGTTGTTACTGATAATACTGAGCAACGATTTTTTTTGTTCATGTTAAAAAGATTTTTACATAACTGATTTAACTATTTGACTCACTAATAGCGCGCTATGTTGTAGTTGTCCTGCACATCTTGAGGGGAGGGTTTGAAGAATTTTAAACCATTCCGATTGCTGCCGAAGAACGCGCAACCACCAATGCAACCACAACGTGAAATTTCGGCGCCATTTGACGGAGGCAGAGCGGCAGCCTGACCGCAATTGCTTACATTCCACAAAAACCACAAACGCTTGTACTTAGCATCATGATCGCGTAAAAAGCTGAGACAAAATGAATATGCATGTTTATTTAAATATGGCCATGAAGGGAGACTAAAAACATATGCACTGGCAATAGTATCATATTGCAATGATTTCAAATACATATGTATCTATTCTCATTGCAGTAGTGTACAGCGCGGCGACAATCAACTGTTACTCAGTTTCGTTTAACAAAAGGGTCCTTTATGGATTTGGAGAAGAAAGTATTTTTTGGTAATTTTCCACAGATTTTACTTTAATTTTATTAATTAGTTCAACAATTTTTATTGAGCGTGAGGCAGTTTTTAATGAAAAACTATTGTGGAAAAGCAACAATAATTTTGAAAAAATTATAGAAGTGATAGCTATTTCGGAAATCACCACATTTCCCCATCAGACTTCTTTCAGCTGAATTCGATTCAACGACCCCAGATGACTCAGCCAGTTGCCTACGCACCATGCTAAGTTCGCCTTGGGAATTCTTGTTGCTTCTTTCCACTTTTCCATTTTTGAAGCCAGCTATAATCAAGCGCAGCTCTTCCAGTGCTATTTAAACTTGATCATGTGGTTGTTGGTTTTTGCTAATAATTCTATTTTTAGAATGTTTAACTTTTAGGTGTACTCGTCCTTAAGTTTTTTTTTTTTTTTTTTTGAATTGAATTATATTCAAAAAATTTTATTGGGCTTTATGCCGTTTTTAAAGAAAAACTATTATGGAAAAGCAACAATAATTTTGAAAAAAATGGAAGAAGTGATAGTTATTTCGAAAATCACCACATTTCCCCATCAGACTTCTTTCAGTGGGATTCAATCGAACGACCCCAGCTGACTCAGCCAGTTGCCTATGCACTGTGCTAAGTTCTTGGTGCTTTTTTTCCACTTTTTCATATGTGAAGCCAACTACAATCAAGCGCAGCTATTCCAGTACTGTTTAAACTTGATCATGTGGTTGTTGATTTTGTTGGTTTTTGCTAATAATTTTCTTTTAGAATGTTTAACTTTTAGGTGTACTTGCCCTTAGGTTTTTTTTTTTTTTTGTGCCCTCATAACAATTGTATTCAACAATTTTTATTGAGGCCGTTTTTTTAATGAAAAACTTATTCTGGACAAGCAACAATAATTTGAAAAAATGGTAGAAGTGATAGCTATTTCGGAAATCACCACATTTCCTTATCAGACTTCTTTCAGTGGGATTCGATCCAAAGACCCCAGCTGAATATTATTGTTCTGAGGCCATAAATAACAAAAACAAATAACCTGAGGACGAGCACACCTAAAAGTTGGACATTCTAAAAATATAATTATAAACAAAATCCAACAACCACATTATCAAGTTTAAATAGCACTGGAATAGCTGCGCTTAATTGTAGTTGGCTTAACAAAAGAAATAGTGGAAAAAGCAACAAGAATTTACAAGGCGAACTTAGCACGGTGCGTTGGTAACTGGCTGAGTCAGCTGGGGTCGTTCGATTGAATCCCACTGAAAGAAGTCTGATGAGGAAATGTGGTGATTTCCGAAATAGCTGTCAAAATTATTGTTGCTTTTCTACAATAGTTTTTCATTAAATACGACCTAAAGCTCAATAAAAATTATTGAATATAATTGTCATAAGGCCATAAAATAACAAAAACAAATAACTTAAGGACGAGCACACCTAAAAGATAAACATTCTAAACATAGAATTATTAACAAAAACCTACAAAACCAACAACCACATGATCAAGTTTAAATAGCACTGGAATAGCTGCGCTTGATTATAGTTGGCTTCACAAATGAAAAAGGGGAAAAAAGCAACAAGAATTTGCAAGGCGAACTAAGCACGGTGCGTAGGCAACTGGCTGAGTCAGCTGGGGTCGTTGGATTGAATCCCACTGAAAGAAGTCTGATGACGAAATGTGGTGATTTCCGAAATAGCCATCAAAATTATTGTTGCTTTTCTTTAATAGTTTTTCATAAAAAACGGTCTCAAGCTCAATAAAATTGTGAATATAATTACACAGGCCTACAAAATTTAAAAAAAGTTCAGACCCTGGGACTAGCTTATACTTTTCTAAAGGTTTTTGTTGCGCTGAATCTGAATCCAGAATCAGTTTTGCTCGATTGGCTCAGGTTTTCGAGATATTTGAGCCTAAACATGCGAAAACCCCGACTTTTTGCTATATTCGTAATGTATTTTCATCAAGAATAGTTCGTTTTTTTAATAAACCATTTAAAAGTAAAATATTTACCCTTAATAATGCTGTTTAACTCAACGTGATGTCTTGTTTTAAACCTGAGATATTGTCCATTGAAGTTTATGAGTTTTGCGACATTACTTCTTTGCACAAATGCTCGGAAGAACTGAATATAATTCATTCAAGTTAAACATTCTAAAAATAGAATTATTAGCAAAAACCAACAAAACCAACAACCACATTATCAAGTTTAAATAGCACTGGAAAAGCTGCGCTTAATTGTAGTTGGCTTAACTAAAGAAATAGTGCAAAAAAGCAACAAGAATTTACAAGGCGAACTTAGCACGGTGCGTTGGCAACTGGCTGAGTCAGCTGGGGTCGTTCGATTGAATCCCACTGAAAGAAGTCTGATGAGGAAATGTGGTGATTTCCGAAATAGCTGTCAAAATTATTGTTGCTTTTCTACAATAGTTTTTCATTAAATACGACCTAAAGCTCAATAAAAATTATTGAATATAATTGTCATAAGGCCATAAAATAACAAAAACAAATAACTTAAGGACGAGCACACCTAAAAGATAACCATTCTAAACATAGAATTATTAACAAAAACCAACAACCACATGATCAAGTTTAAATAGCACTGGAATAGCTGCGCTTGATTACGAAATGAAAAAGGGGAAAAAAGCAACAAGAATTTGCAAGGCGAACTAAGCACGGTGCGTAGGCAACTGGCTGAATCAGCTGGGGTCGTTGGATTGAATCCCACTGAAAGAAGTCTGATGACGAAATGTGGTGATTTCCGCAATAGCCATCAAAATTATTGTTGCTTTTCTTTAATAGTTTTTCATAAAAAACGGTCTCAAGCTCAATAAAATTGTGAATATAATTACACAGGCCTACAAAAAAGTTCAGACCCTGGGACTAGCTTATACTTTTCTAAAGGTTTTTGTTGCGCTGAATATGAATCCAGAATCAGTTTTGCTCGATTGGCTCAGGCTTTCGAGATATTTGAGCCTAAACATGCGAAAACCCCGACTTTTTGCTATATTCGTAATGTATTTTCATCAAGAATAGTTCGTTTTTTTAATAAACCATTTAAAAGTAAAATATTTACCCTTGATAATTCTGTTTAACTCAACGTGATGTCTTGTTTTAAACCTGAGATATTGTCCATTGAAGTTTATGAGTTTTGCGACATGACTTCTTTGCACAAATGCTTGGAAGATACAACACGAAAAGAAACAGATTTGTGGTATACGTTTAGGCGTCTTTATTTACATAATGAAGGTATGTGTATATTATCATGTACATATATTATATATCATGTATATCATATATCATATATATATCATGTATATTATATGTATATTATCAAATGAAATTCCTAGAGAATTTCTCATGCATTCATTTCTTCGTTAAATTCTTAAACGAAATAAGTTTACTCTATGCACGCGCACATACATTCGTGTTGTATCTTTCAAGCATTTGTGCAAAGAAGTAATGTCGCAAAACTCATAAAATTCAATGGACAATATCTCAGGTTTAAAACAAGACATCTCGTTGAGTTAAACAGCATTATCAAGGGGAAATATTTTACTTTAACTGGTTTATTAAAAAAAACGAACTATTCTTGATGAAAATACATTACGAATATAGCAAAAAGTCGGGGTTTTCGCATGTTTAGGCTCAAAGGGGTTTTGATGCACCACGTGGGTCGTGATAGCCCACTCGCTGCAAGATAATTTCAAATTATTATTTTTCTATATAGAGCCCACATAATGGTTTAAACATTCCTACCTGAGTTTTCTCTCTAGCACACGCTCCTTATAGGTATGTATATACAAATTTTAACTTTTAGAAGTAGTTTTCCTTTTGTCGGTTGGAAATTATGTTTTCGATGGACTCCGTTTAACTTCGCGTTAATTTTTCACTGCTTCTCCAAGCATAGGAAATCGAAATTGCCGATCTTTGGTATGCTGATCTGATGTTAACCAACGGCTTATATCACATTTTTGGGTACAAAAACAAAATACATGCAGGATGACAATAATTACGTTTAGATTTTAGCAACATCCGCGCTCAGCTATGTAGCAACATGCGCGCTCAGCTATGCAGCAACATGCGCGCTCATCTCCGACTAACAGCGTTGTGAAGCGAAACAATAATGCCTACCTTTGCAAAACTTTTAATTACGTTTTTGTTTTAGACTATTGCGGCATTACACATTATCAGGTCTATTCTTCTTATTACTAAAAAATGTTACCAGTTCTTGTCACCACGATTCTAGTTATGTTGGTAATGCAGTTAAAATATTCGGCAATTCAGCTATGAAGAATTGTGGAAATGCTGGCATTGCATGAGATGGTAACAAAATTTACCGCTTATAAGAGTACACAAAATTCGAAAAGGGTTTAAAATTTGACAGGAACTTAATTTACCGGTTACAAAACTTTTATTACCAGCACAGAATAGACCTGTATGTGTGCTTATGAGTAGTTGTCGATAAAATCAAAATTACTTGTTTTTATTTGGAAATTTCGATGCTTGATTTTTTACACCTTACGCGTCGATGTATATGCGTGTAAAAAACGCCTATTGTATATGTATATAAGCATGATTCATGATGCAATAATGAAAGGTGTTATACGTCGGCAACTTCTCGCTCTAATCCGCCATCTTGAACTACCTTAGGAGAAACTGTGTTGTTTCTTTGCTAATTTCACTGAACATTTCCCAAAATATTAGAAAAAAATTCTAAACAAGCTACATTGATTNCCTGTTGCGCCTTTGCATTAGTGTGTGCGTTGTGCTTTAGACACGTTGAAGTAAGTTGAAACCAGGTT